GACAGCACTGGCCATTGGTGGTCACTACTAGCCCCCCAGAGGCGGTGTCGGAGACACCAGGCGCAGGTCCTCTGGTGCTTTCAGGCAATGTTAGACTCGGGAGCGGAGTCCCAGCCTCTGACAAAGGGTGAGCTTCCCTGCCCGTCTCCTTGGAGGTCAACTACTGGATGCTTCTTTATTTCTTCTTTCAGCTCTGGTCCTTCTTTCTTAATGCCAGCAACAGTCTTCTCCTTTCTTAGGAACAGACTGGCTTCAGCTCCCTGGGCTGACCCTGGCTTATAGCCTTTTTCAAGGTGCCACACCCACAAGTCCAACTGGACCATTTTCCAATCCTGGGGCTGATTGGCCCATTGAGCACCAATCAGCTCATAGCTCACACCTGATTGGTCCACTCCACAATCCTGGCAGTCAAAGGGTGCTTGCTGGGCTCTGAGGACCAACTGCCACAACTGACTAGTGGAACAGTGCAGGCTGCCCCCTCTAAGGCTGCCGGCTTCTGGTAACAATTTCACAGACGTTTATACAAGGCCTTATGTCAGGGGCTAGTGGGCAGGGTGAGGGGGTCCTTTTCTCTTGTGTAGCACCAGTGTAGCTTTTAGGGAACCTGAAGGGCGGTGCCTCACGGACAATTCCAAGTATCCTGCACCCAGCGCCCTGCCCTATGACCAGCCCTTCAGAGCTACCGCAGAAGGGTCCCGAAAGGGGGATTTATTGAAGGCCCAGGCGCTTACTGAATGTTGTGCTTTGTGTCACAGGAAAGAAACATTCAGAACTTTCAGAAGTTCTGGCTCAGTGCTGAAGTCAACAGGTTATTGTCCTTGGGGCCTGCTGCCATTTGCAGGTCTTGAGTAAGGGGTGACCTTCCATAAAGTCAGAACCACTGGGGTCCTTCCAGCCGTGTGTGAGTTAGCAGAACTAGGATTAGCGACTAAGCTGCTAAACAGGACAGTTTACTTCAACTACCAGGTTCTTCATTGCAGTGGTGTTTCTTCAAACTTCCTGATGTTGGGGGGCAGAAAAGCAGCACTTCTCTGGTGACCTCAGGACTCCATACAGACCCTTGTTAATAATGACTTCCTTATGGGGAGGGGGGCGAATAATGACTTCCTTATTTATTGCGATTTTATTTATTCATGCGTAGAACGGGTGTAGACCACAGGTACAGGGGGTGAGAGGACTCCACAGAGAGTGGGGAGCAGAACAGGCAGTTCTACTAAAATCCACTGCTGAGAAGAGAAGCAGGGAGACAGGAGAGGTCTGCTGTGCCCTGTGGATCACCTCCATGGCTGGGCATTGAACTGGGCCACAGTGGTGATAGCACTGAGACTCAACCCCTAGGCCACCAGGGAGGGCCATGACTTCCTTTTTAAAATTTGACCTTCCATAATTCCCACTTCTTATTGAGAACTGTCCCTGGAAAGCACTGGGAGAGGAGTGTGTGTGGATGGATATGGTTATGTCCATGGCTAAGAAGCCAGGCACTGTCCTGTCACAGGTTGTAACACCCAAATCTGAAGGGATATAGGTTACACCACGTGGTCATTTTAATTGAGGGCCATGTTGAAGCAGTGAGGGACAACCCTGGTAGGGGGTGTTAGTCAGCATCCTCTAAGTAAATGTTCAAAGGTGGCCTCACAATGTATATTCAGTCAAGTAAAATAGTTTAAGTTTCAAGGATTTTTGCAGAGGAAGTTCAGGAAAGCATCCAGTTAAGTTGATGTTGTGCATCCATTGAGGAAAACAGATGTTGGAAGTGAGCCCATCTATTTAATGCTTGTCCTCTGGGATTTGGAAGCTTTAGCAGTGCCATGAACCTGGAAAGGTTGTCCTTTGGCAGTTGTTGATTTGCTCAGAAACGACTTCCTGTTGCTGAAACAGCTTCTCCCCAGGGCCAGGCCAGCGATGCCTGACTCTCCATGTGCCCCTCAGCGGAGGCCTGGACTGGGGCGCAACTTTCATTGGTGATTTCTGTTTACAAGGGATTAGGAACTAGGCAGGGGAAGCAAACTTTCTGTCCTTGTTCACCAAGGTATATTTTGATCAATTATGTTGATGGGAAAGGGTCTTTTTAAATTTTTATCTTACAGTCTGGCCCAGGGCCTCCCTGCTGGCCTAGGGGTGAAGTCTCAGCACTATCACAGCCAGAGCCTAAGTGCAGTCCCCGGCCACGGAGTGACCCAGAGGGCGCAGCAGACCTCTCCTGTCTCCCTACTGCTCCCCTCAGCAGTTGGCTTTCAATGGATCCACCTGTCTGCTCCCCACTCTGGCTCTAGGGAGTCCCCTCACCTCAGCACAACTCTGGCTGGCACCTCAGTTCTTCTACACATAAATAAATTAATCTTTTAAAAATCTGGTTCAATTTCATGATCTTCAAATTATGGAGACCGGTATTTTAGTGATCCCATGCAGGTCCTTCCCATGAATTTTTAAAAAAATATTTATTTATTTATGCTTACAGAACTAGGGTACAGGCCAGAGGTGTGTGATGGGTGAGAGGATTCACCAGAGGCAGAGTGGGGAGTAGAACAGGCAGATTGACAAAGCACACTTCTGAGGGGAGCAGTGGGCAGATAAGAAGAAGCCATGTGGGTCAGCTCCCTGAGGGGGATCAAACTCATGCTGCAGTGGTTTGGGAGGGCTTCATAATGCCGTGCTTTAACCTGTTGTGCCACCACGGGGAGCCCCCGTGAATTTTTTTGTTTTTAATAATAGTTCATTTTTACATCATTTTGTGCATTTTTCCATCTCAGTTTTAATGCCCTTGGGTTTCCCATCACCGAATCACCCATGTACCGTCACCAAAGTCTAGTGCATTTCCCTCCTCCCCACTGTTTTTGACCCCATTCCACTCCACCCCCATAAATTGTCTCTGGTATATAACTATTCATTATTGTTATTGTTATCTTGCCGGGTCCGTTATACTTCTGCTATGAGTGAAGCCATTCATTATATTTCTTTTTCTTTCTGGCTTATTTCACTAAGCATGATATTTTCCAGCTCCATCCATGTTGCTGCAAAAGACATGTGTTTTTTTTTTTTGGTTGCTGAGTAATATTCCATTGTGTATATGGACCACATCTTTTTAACCCAATCATCCACTTTTGGGCATTTGGGCTGTTTTCATGTCTTTCCAATTGTAAATAATGCAGCAATAAACATGGCCCGTATGAATTTTTTTTAAAAGATTTATTTATTTATTCATATAGAACTGGGGTACAGGCCAGAGATGCGGAGGGTGAGAGGATTCACCAGAGACAGAGTGGGGTGCAGAACAGGCAGATCGACGAAGTACACTGCTGAGGCGAGCAGCGGGCGGGTCAGGAGAGGTCTGCCACGCCATGTGGTCTCCTCCGGGGGCAGGTGGGAATCGAACTCATGCGGAAGTGGCTTAAGCTTCTCAGTGCAGTGCTTTAACCCGCTGCGCCACCAGGGAGGGCCGCCCCTATGAATTTTTTAAAGAAGAAACATGCTAGTAACAACTATCAGAATAAAACAATAATTGTCGGAGGGACAAAGACTGCAAATGCCCACAGCTGCTGATCAGACAAGAGTTTACTGTTGACACAGAAGTTTGCTTATTTTTGAACATACAAAGTTTTCAAATGATCAGCATATATCAAGTAAAGAGTTTATGTTAGAACATACCAGACTTCCAGGAAGTTTATGTCATGTTTGGACACAGTGTTCTGATGCAGCTTGTCAACCGATGCTTCAGGGCTCCTGTGGAAAGCAATTTAAAGTAACTAAGTGAAAAAGCCACACTCTGGAATTTAACTTTAAGGCATCTAGAAGCATTAGATGGGTTCTAATGTTTAAATAAACCTGAGATTATTAAGAAATAATAAATAATTATGCACTTAACCAAAGGATCTGTTAAAGGAAGACTTGATGATAAATGTACACTTGATGCAGCTTTTCTATAAAATTAAGCAGGAGACATAGTATGTTATACTAAATATCTTTAAATTTTAAATCATTAGCCTCAAGCGTTGGTGTGAGCCTCAGCGAGTGTGGCCAGAGCTCTGGTCGGGAGACTCTCAGGAACACTGGTCCGCTCCACACTCTGCGCTCCACCCTCTCGCAGCTCTGCTTCCGGACTCCTCCACGTGTGCCTAAGAAGATCAGAAAATGAATGAGTCTCTGGTGAGTCACTATTTTCCCTCAACCTTGTTTCATATTGAGCTTTCCAAGGGCTCTTAACTGAAATGAGCAAAAGAAAAAATTGTACTTTATGAGATTGACATACGCAAGGCAGAGGCAACCATGGACACAGGCAAGTTGTCCGGCCTTGGGGCATCCAGGCTGAGCGCGTGTGTATCTGGTCGCCTGAAACCACAGCCAAGAAAAAAGACACCTGATCAGAACAGACCCTTCTAGGCCAGCAGGCTGCGTTCTCAGGGACACGGAACTTGCGGGCACAGAGACACCAGAGTTTGCAGGTCATAGAGATGATGGTGGCCGTGGCTTGTTATCTATGTGGAACAAAACACGTCCTGCCTGTAGCAGTGATGATGGATTTCCACAGAGAGCACACCTGATGAGGTGTGTCTGCAGAGGCGAAACTGTGGCACTCAGGAGGCCCTGCTTGAGGCCACCAGAGGTGACCACTGGTCCTGCCATGACTTCCAGATACCCCTCTCAGCTCCTCTGTGCATTTAGCTTGTTCAGCAGACGGTCCATTTGTTTTCCATAAATCCTCACACACATTTTTCCAGTTATTTATTGGGCCCCTGATTGATTATTTATCAAGCCCCTTGATGACTAAAGTTTTATACAGGCTTATTTTAGGGTGAAGTTCATTTCCACATTTGTAAAGCAAACTGTGTAATTTTTGTGTGTGTGTGACGAACCCAGGTAAGATGTTTCTAGTGTTAAGTTTGTCTGTCTCCCCATGCAGAGCGAAGAGCATGATGTGTCCAATATAAGAGAAAACAGGTACAAAACAATGAATTCCTGGACCTCTAGGTGTTCAGACTCAGATTGCCACCTTGACTGAGGGAATGGTGCCGTTACAGGAGATGGTCACCTTTGAGGACGTGACTGTGAACATCACCTGGGAGGAGTGGCAGGCCCTGGATGACGCTCAGAGGACCCTCTACAGGGACGTGATGCTGGAGACCTATGGGAGCCTGGTGTCGCTGGGTGAGTGGAGGCGTCCAGGAACGGCCTAGTGAGATCAGTGTTTTTCATTGATACGAACAACTGCGAATGTAATAAAATGGTATTTAGAGTCAAGATTTCAGGTCAGTGACATGTGAGTGTCCCTTTCTCTGTGGTGACCTTTCTCCAATAAGTGGTTTAAACTGCCCTTTCATGACAGAAAAGTGAAAGCTGTGGTATTCTTCCAGGACCATGATATAAAACATGCATTTCTTACCAACAGGGTGTTGCATTATGAAGCCTGAGCTGATCATCAGGATGAAGCAAGGAGCAGAGCCATGGACTGTGGAAGAATCCCCAGATCAGACACGCTCAGGTCAGCGAGTTCATTCTAGGGAGGGAGGCCTGGGGTAGCAGAGCTCCGCTGAGAGCCTGATCGAGCTGTCATTTCCCCATGGCCTTCCTGTGAATGATCAATTGGAACATTTTTCCAAGAAGTGGAGCGAGAGTGTACCAGGACTCTGCAGATCTGTTATCTGATTAAGTTTTTCGCTTTTGCAGTAACTATGACCAGAAACACTTAGGTGTTGCTCAAGGTGTGGGTGGTTCTTTCCCTCTCATTGCAGGAGTCCCAAGCTGGCCACACCCTGTTGTGACTCGCCAGGACATTCAGGACAAACGTTGGTGTAACTTTGTTTTCACCAGCCACAAAACATCAACAAGATTAAGAATTGACTTGGGAAAGCCATTTAGTTTAAGCTCAAGTCATACTTTGAAAAAAACTACTCAAACTGATTCAGGAAGGATGCCTGAAGATATTAATAGTGTGTATCAGGCTGTATTTCTTCTCGGTGAGCCTGACGAGAAACCTGATGGAGACACGGCAGAGGACAGTCATCCCTATGGGGAAGTGGCCCAAAATCCTGAGCCTCCTAACAGTCAACAGGTGATTCAAACATTGCAGCAGCCTCCTGAACTCTGTGGACAAGAGAAAGCCTTGAATAAGGAGCCAGCAGTCTTTATACATAAGACAGCTGCTATGGGAGAAACTCCCTGTAAAAATAATGAAAAAAGGAAGCACTGTAGTAACCTTGCTTTTACTGTCACTGAGACCACTCACATGGGAGAGACCCAATGCAGATGTGACAAAGAGCGTGAAATCATTGAAAAACCAACACAATTATTTTGTGATTGTGATGTTGATGGTGAACACCCCATATTTAATCAAAATGGGGCTATTTACAGCAGAGAATTGCACATTACTCAGAATCAAAGGACTGGACTAGAGAAAAAGCTTGAAGATACTATATTTAGGGAAAATCCCTACAAAATACCTGTCTTCACTGAACACCAGAGCATAGAAATAGGGGCAAAGTCTTCTGAGTGTTTGAAAACCTGTGAGAAATCAGTACTCCGTAGACATCAAAGAAACCTCACAGGAGAGAAACCCTACGAATGTAAGGAATGTAGCAAATCTTTCTCCAAGAAATCATCGCTTATTATACATCAGAGAGTTCACACAGGCGAGAAACCGTATGTATGTGAAACATGCAGGAAGTCTTTCTCCCAGAAGTCACACCTCTCTCGACATCGAAGAATTCACACAGAAGAGAAACCCTATGAATGTGGACAATGTAGGGAGTCTTTTAGAGCTAAGGGTTATCTCATTAAACATCAGGAAGTCCACAGAAGAGAGAAAGCCTATACATGTAAGGAATGTGGGAAATCATTCTCCCAGAAATCAGCACTGACTAATCATCACAGCATACACACGGGAGAGACATCTCGACATCAAAAAATTCACACGGGAGAGAATCCCAGCGAATGTGAACAATGTAGGAAGGTTTTTGGAGATAAATGTTCGCTCACCAGTCATCAGAGAAATCACACAGGAGAGAAACCATATGAATGTAAAGAATGTGGGAAATCTTTCTCCCAGAAATTAAGCCTGACTAAACACCTCAGAATTCACACTGGGGAGAGACCCTACCAATGTAAAGAATGTAGAAAATCTTTCTCCCAGAAATTAAGCCTGGCTAAACACCTC